TGCTGAGGTCTCTCTGGTGTCTCCCAGGATGGAATGTGGGGGCTCCCAGGATAGAATGTGGGGGCTCCCAGTGTTCCATCCCCCCAACAGCTTCTTCAACTCCTCCTGGGGAGGCAAAGGGTGAAGGAGGGGCTGGGGAGCCCCTGGCCCCTCCGGGTGTCTCTCCAGGGCTGTGGGTGCCAGTGCCCTTGTCTGGAGGCCTCGTTCCCTCCCCAGAGCTGGGACATCCCTGGGCTCAGGGGTGGCAGGAGCCCCAGGCCTGGGGCTGGGCTGGAGGGCACAGGCTGGGGAGGGAGGTGGGCAGGGCTAGGGGTGGGGGTCTCTCTGTGGGGAAGGGAGAGGGTGTTGGGAGCACTAACAGTCCCCAGGGGCTGGTTGAGCCTCTGGGGCAGGAGGAGGGGACAGAAAACAAAGCAGATGTTGGAGCAGGGTCTGCTCCCAACCCCCCTGCTGGGATGGTGACCCCAGGAGCTGCCACAGGGAGAGATCACACATGGGCAGGAGTCCCTGCTCATTGCAGGAACCTGCTGATCTTTAAGGTCCCTTCCAACCTTCACCATTCTATCTCTGGGTCAGGAGCCCCTGTCCTTCTGGGGGATTTCCACTCCCCCCCCACCAGCTGGAAATACCCCAGTGCTGTGACCAGCAGGTCTGGGGAATTCCTGTAATCTATGGGAAGAGACCTTGTCACAGGAACTCACACATTGCCCTTTGCAATTTGTCAGCTAGGAATGGAGGACTGCTGGGAGATGGGATGGACTTGGTCACAGTCATGATGGAACAACTGAGTTCAAAATGGTCACTGTATTGAGAAAGGAGAGCAGAGTTCCTTCCCTGGACTTTGAGGGACTTTGCAGAATCCCCTGGGAATCTGCTCTTGAAGGCTCAGGTGTAGGCAGGGTCAGACTGTAAGAAACCCCTTTGAGAAGCTCAGGAATAGGCAATTCCAGTGTGTTGGATGGATATCAAGCAAAGGAGGCACAGGACCAGTTTGTGTGAGCTGGGAACCCTCCATGGAGCTCCAGAGGAAAAGGGAATCATGCAATCCCTGGAAGCAAGGTCAGGTTTGGCAGGAAGATCCCAGAGCCATGGGTGGCATGTGCAGGGAGAGGACAGGGGGTGACATGCAGCAGGCAGGCTCCACACTGCTAATTGCTGCACCATGACCTCCAGCCCCTCTTTGGGGCTTAAGTGGATCACACCACCCCACTGGGGAAAGTGAGTCAGGCCTTGGAGCCACTGCCAGTGAAATTCCTGGCATCCAAACCTGGCACTTGCAGCCCTGCCTGGCCCTTGGCCACCCTCCCAGAGCCCTCAGGACTGGCCACGCATAGAGAAGGAGCTGGTGGAGCTTGGGAAGGACAATCATGGCAAGGGCCCCACACTCCCCCAGCCACACACCAACCACACAGCTCTCAATGCATTTTTATTAAATTCTTACAAAACAGAATACAAAATTCTGGCATCAACAATTGTTATAAAGGAAAAAACTTCAGTTCAGCTGTATCAGTTCACCTGGTACATACAGTAAAGTGCTTGTTTTTGTGGTTTTTTCTTTTTCCTTTTCTCTTTTTTTTTTCTTTTTTCTTTTTTTTTATTTTTTTTGTGTTTTGGTTTTTTTGTCTTTTCTGTTTCTTTTTTGTTGTTGTTTTCCAACCAGCCCCCAAGTGTGGAAGCTGCCCTTGTACAAACCAACAGTGCATTAATTTGACCCTCGTTGAACCAGCTTTGGCAGTCTCTTCAACAACTGTAAAGTGGAGAAAGTTTCTCCTGGTTTGATTTTTTTTTTTCTCTTTTTTAATAAAAAAAAAAGAAGTTAGCTTCACAGTAAACATTTCTAACCAGTTCTAAGTCGAGTTAGTTGGCCAAAGGAAGGGTGGGGGGGGAAGGAGAGGAAGCCAAAAAAAAAGCTTAAAATTTCCAGCCTTAAAAAAAAAAAAAATAAAATCTTTTTGAAGTTGGTTTCCAAGACAGATGCTCTATGAGGGGGAAAGGCTTTAAAAGAGGAAGAGGAGGAAGGAGGGTGTTGGCAAGAGGGGGTTGGCTGGTGCTGGACTGCAGGTCAGGGAGCATCTGTCTGGAAACCACCCTGGGAGGGGATGTCCATCCCTGGCAGGAGCATCACCCACCCAGTGCGGTACCGAGCGCCTGCACTGCTGAGGCACCCACGGGTGCCTGACACACCTCAAGGGCTTGAGGTGTTTTGAGTCAGTCCCCTAGCTCTAAAGGCATTGAAAGATCCTTCATAAACACACAGCCCCCCACTACACACCCAGAGCTGTGGGAGCCCCCCCACCCACTCTGGGAGCACCTGGGTCCATGGTCAAACCAAACCCCCCGAGCCACAATGTGAGCCAAGCCTGGGCAAAGCAACCAACCATGAGCTCAGATGCTCCCTGGCACCTCCATCCCCTCGATGCCAATACCCACAGGGTCTGTGGGCAGCCCTGGCTGAGGTTGCCCAGCATCAAAGTGCCCTCAGGGATGAGCTCCAGCACCCACAGGTCACCCAAGCCACGCACCGGCCTTTCAGAGTATTTATACAGAGACCGGTCTTATGAGCAGGAAGGGGGGGGAAAACACAAAAAAAATCTACTTGCCAACAAAAGCCCAGGGGACCCAAAAAATTAATCAGACATATATCCCCCTGCCATCCCCTTCCCATGATTTTGTTTTCTAAAAAGGGCTGCGGCGTGCAGCAGTGACAACAGCTTTCACAACACCAGCTCAAGGCATCGCGTACTGTACATCATTCAAGTATTTCTTAATATAAGACAACAAGGAATTATCTACAACTGATAAAACAAAGTAAGCTATAAAAATAACAATGTACAATCAAGATGGATTTTGTTTTTCTCTTTCGCCTTTAAAGGAGGCCTCTCCGGGCTGTCCCGGTGCCTACATGGTGAGGGGGTTGTCCTCATACCACCTCCCACCTGGTGTGGTGGGAGCAGGGGCACCCAGGGGAGAGGGCAGATGGCAAGTGTGAGGTGGTTCTGGGGTGGGGGGAGAAGCTGCCCTCGCCAACCTGCTGATACCACTTGGCAGAAGGGCCAGGAAGGGCAAGAAAAGACAGTCCCTACCCCACACTCCATCAACACCCGAGATCATCATCTCCCGAGATAACTCACACACACCTCCCTGAAACAAAAAAAACAACACATATTGCATAGTATTGCTGTCAGCAGTCTTAAAATAAAAAGGAGAACTTTCTCTTTCGGAGACAGTGACTGTCTTCAGCTGAAGACCTGGGGAAGTCTCTTCCCCAGCTCAAAACAAGCTCCCAAAGTCATCACCTGTGCACACAAGGGGCTGAGGCTGCTTCTTCCAAAGCTAAAGCTCAAAGCATTGGGTTGGTAGGGAGAGGAGATGGCTAATGAAGGGGGCACCCTCCCTCCCTCCCATGGGACACAGGGAAGCCAGCAGGCCCAGCTGGGTGGTGGGGAGCAGAGATTTATTGCTCCACCTGGTGCATGAGGGGTTTGGAGGTGCTGGACCCCAGCCCAGCTCCAAGCACGGGCACCGCTCGCCTGGACGGATCCAGCCCCAGAGACCAGCCAAGGGCCTTGTCCCGATGCAGCATCCAAAGCCTTCCCACACCTGCATCTCCATCCTTCCCCAAAGCAAGCTCCGGGGAAAGGGCAACTCCACACATGTGCACAAACACACATGAACAGACACGCGTGAACACGCGTGCCCAGCTCTCCCCAGCCACCTGACAGACCCTGCACTGCCCAGGCACTGCTGCCCGACCCCAAACCCTCTGGCCCCACATCCCAGGCTGCTGCTCCATGCCATGGCCCTTGGGGGCTGCCACCAGACTGGCCACTGACCCACCAGCACCCCCGGGGCACTGGGCACCCTTTGCACCCCCAGATCTCCCACCACAGCAGCCTCAGGGCCAGCCTGAAGCCACACCAGGTCACCACACCCTGCAGCTCTTTCCCAGGGGTCCTCTCTTTCCACAGAGCACCCCGCTATTCCCAAGGGGGAGGGCGTAGTTTTTTGGCTGCTCTGGCCACCCTGGGGAGCCTCATACCCCTTATACCTCCACAAGGGCCCTCACCAGTGAGCCCCCCAACTCCAAAAACAGGGGTGCAACACCTGACCTGGCCCCAAACACCTGTTCAGCCCCCCTGGTTCTGAGCTTACCCCCTGGGGAGCCGCCGGCCAGAAACATGGGAGGAAAGGAAGACATTTCTCCATGCCCTGTAGAGAAGCACAGCTAGCAGTTTAAAACAAACAATTAAAAAAAAAGGGGAGGGGGGGAATATAATGAAAAAAAGGGGGTGAATAGCTTATTCTGGAAGGAGGATGCCAAGGAGAGAGGGTGGCTTGGTGGGTCAGGGCACTGCTCCCTCCCTGGCACCGTTTCTCCCCAGCGGTTCCCTGCACAAGACCGACTGCATCCCCCCGGAGCACGGCTGGGGACACCCCCAAGCACGGGACGGAGGGGCTCCCAGACCCCTCCCCAAAAGAGGGTTTTGAGGGATCTACCCCAACATCAGAGAGAGACCTGCAGCTCTGAGGGGAGGGACGAGGTTAAAACGTGACTCCCGTTGTTGAAAACGCGACCGAGGGTCTTTTGTTCACAGTATGAAATGAGCTGAAATCGTCAAAGCAGCCGCGGATACAAAGAGTCCTTTGGTGTCGGGGAGGGGGGGGGAGGAAAATGTCAGGAGAAACCAAGAAACAAAAGTCCGTGTGTCTGTCAGATGTCCTTGAGTGTGCCCTGGGTGAAGCAACCTCACGCTTGATTTAATACCTTAAAAAAAAAAAACCAAAACAAGAAAAAAAACAAACATCTGAAACAAACCCTCCCACCCCCAGACCTACAAGATCAGCAAAACCTTGGAAACCAGCCACAGGGACGAGTCCTGATCTTGTCACTAGCCAGAAATGGTGGGGTGATAGGGATGGGGGGGGGAGAGGAGGGAAGAAAGAAAGGAAGAAGGAGGAGGAGGGGGGACGTGGGGTACAGCAGGTCTGCGGGGCACAGCTCAGGCTTGGTCAGCCACCAGGACCAGCGGGGCCACCAGGTGCTGCCCGGCGGCCACTGCCTTGGCCAGGCTGTTCTTCTGCCGTCGCTTGGCCAGCTTGGACTCAGAGGGGGGGGAGAGCTGCATGGCCCGTGAGGTAGCTTTGATGATGATGGGTCGTGCTTCCTCCTCCGCCTCCTCCTCCTCATCCTCGTCGTGCCGCGTCAGCTGGCGATTGACAGCGATGGCCTCGGCGGCAAAGGAGGTGAGCTCTTTGGCACTGCTGTTCCTGCAGGAGAGGGCAGGAGGCTCAGGATGTGCTGGAGGGAGGTTGGGGTCAAATATCAGGGTGCCTCCCCCTCCCTTGTGTGCCACTCTGGACCAGTCGTGCACCAAAAACAGGGCTTGAACCCAAGTCACATCCTGCAATCACTGCCCAGTCAGTGTGAGCTGCAGCAGAGCCCCCAGAAAGCAGCAAGAATGGAGAGGAGCCAAAATCTTGGGGGAGGAGGGGCTGGGACATGTCCCCCCACCCCCCCGTCACAAGGCCCCGCTGCACTCACCTCTGCAGGATGATGGGGGTTGGCAGGGTATTATCCGGGGCACACTGCAACGAAACGCAGCAGGTCAGAACCAGGCACCCCATGGGGGGTGGGGACCCCCCCACCCTGGCTTTGGGGAGCAGAGGAGGGGGGCAGCAGCACTCACCCCCTGCACCCAGGGGTGCTCCAGGACCTGGGCAGCGCTGAGCCGCTTCTTGGCATCTCTCACCAGCAGTTTGGAAATGAGATCTTTGGCTCCGAAGGAGATGTGTGCCCAGTCCTTGTCGGGAAACTCGTATTTCCCCTCCTGGATGCTTTCAAAGAGCATGTTCTGCGCAGAGCAGGGGAGGGAGACAGACAAAATTAAAGAGGGGCTGATCCAGGG